TATATATTTAGACCAATGTCCCTAGTACAGGGCATTCTCCTTGTTTATATTTTTATAAACACAAACATTATCTAACAGCAGTTAAGTTATTTAATTTTTTTTCTGTATAAAAATCAGTTACACAAATTTAAAATTGTCCAACTTGAGATGTTATTTCATAGTGAAAGAATTGTACTTTTATTGGTAATAAGATTCTATTTTTGGCAGTGTATATTTTATTAATTAATCAAGTCTACAAAGTCAGATAAAGTATCAAAAAAATTGATCTACAGTATATTAAGGGAAAATTAGATTTTCTGTATTTACAGATTATCTATGGAGATAATTATACTGTCAATATTCATCATGGGTTAAATAGAGAGGTGTTTTTAGACTCAAGTCCTTCATTTCCCCTTTCATTACTTTTCCACTTCTCTACAAAGTCACCACTACACAGAGGTAGATTTAGGGGGACTGGCCCCCTTATGGAGCTACCAGGGGCGTAGCTACCCGGAGGCACGGCAGCACGTGCATCCACGTCGTTTTCACAAAAAAAAAAAAAAAAAAAAAAATAGAGAGAGAAAAAGAGAGGGTGCATGAGGGACAAAGTTAACATATAGGAATTAGTCTTTCTATGTATGCATTTTAAAAACTACACAAAGAATTAAAGCAAGAAGATTACACATGCAGCGGAATTTTTAATCCTGCAAGACATGTATGTGTATGATAAATACATACAACTGGTGTAAACTTAGACGAACTTTTTATATTACAGGCATTGTTTAGAAAATACCAGCTACATAGTTGTTGGTAACACAACCATACCGTATACTCGCTTTGAGTGAAGAAAAAAAACATAATCCCTCTAGGGTTAACAAAAAAACTTGAAAATTATTACTTTCCGCTTCGCCCCAAAGCACACATCTCACTAGAATGAAGACTGTAACCTTTTGAACTAGTTCAATATTGACTAAGTATGTAGGTCTTGACAACACGAATAGTTCATTTTCACATCACGTCAACGTATCTCGTCCTGTGTGCATGTAATATTTGCTACCAGACATTAATAACCATTCAATCAATCAATAGTTTCCGTATACTAGTAGATGAGAAGTGGGAACTGCTGTTATTATAAAAAAAAGTACACATTTTCCAGTACATGTTTTACGTTTTTATTTATTCTACAAATTTTTTTTTTATATAGATTCGATAATTCAAAGTCGTTTCTATATGGGTCGGCTATACGAATGGTTGATTGTAATACCATTTAAATAAATTGTTAATTCTAACTCGTTTTACTGGACTATTAGGTCATTCTATTTTAAAAAGAACTGACTGTACGAGTAGGACACTAAACTGCTGATTCTTTTTCGAAAGATACACCAAACTTTTATTACACGTATCTTCACTGTTATCATCTAGATATTGCCATACAACTGGTCGAATGCATATGCATTTGTTAATTAGCTGGCTAATTAAAAACGCAGATCATGAAAAAGATCGTGATCAAAGTATCATTTACTCTGAAAAAGTTCATTAATTTCAACTTCTAATATTCCTAACTACGTAAAATTCGAAATTCCCATCTCTCTCTTGTAGAGTTTACCCACAAAATTTTTAAACATCTAAATACATATGTTAAGCAAAATATATGAGAATGTGTCCACCAAGTATTTGGTATCCATGATGTTTTGCTAACAGAAATTCCACATATAGTATTGTGTTTATGTTTATTGTTTGTTTTTTTTTAAATCTACTTTGCTCAATACAAATACTAGCATATGGAACAAATCTCCATGATTTTAAAAGCTTTCACGTACAAAAAACGCAAGCGACAATGTTAAGTCTTCATTCGACTTGAAGTTAAACAAATAGTTGACCAAAAAACCACAACAAAAATGTCCAAGTTTTATTTCGGTTGTGATTTTGAAAAGCTATATATGCGGAGCTTCCGGGGGGGGGGGCATTTTATTAGAACATCAAACTTTATAATCAACATTTATAAATCAGACCCCTCGCCCTATAGTTTGTGATTCCACTTCATTAAGAAGGTAGCTACGCCCCTGGCTACATATATGGTTAATGCATAGACTTTTTACATGTCCCACTTCAAACATTGCCTAGTTTGGGGACCCCCTCTTTTTCAACATCCTGGATCCACATCTGCTACATATCTTTTTCTATAGCAGATTATACCAATTGATGACACTTGTAAGAAGTAATCCTCAATATTACCCGGTATTACAATACACCTGCCACTTCGATCAATATAATAATGAGATGTGGTATGATTCCCAATGAGAAATACAAAGATGCGAACAATAACAGGTCACATATTACTGTACTACAAAATATATTTTGTAACATTCTGAACAGTTATGTCATGTTCAGGACTGGTATTTGCAAAAATTACCAGTGAAGGGAAGGTATTTTTCCTGAGCTGCTAGGCCAAAAAAAATTCTTCTCAAGACTGGTATTTTTCTCACCTATCCCTCCTGAACAAGATACAAATGTGTCTGTTTAATTTCACCATATATCAATAGAAATGGTTAAGTTATTACTATCACCTATCAATAAGATAACAAATCTAAAAGTAACATCTCTGTAGAGGGTTGAAAAGGCACATATGTTTTGGCAAATACCAGAGTTGAGGGTAAAAAAATGCATACCCTTGTGCTTATACCCCTTAGAAGTGAGCTAAAATATAAATTCATTTGATAAAGGAAAATTCCAATCCTAAAAAATACATTAGCTATTAACTAATCAAAAGTGTAGAAAAAATAGATAAGATGTAATTTTATTATTTGTCCTTTGGACAGAATTTATCTTTCAGTCTGGACCTGCATTTTATTAGAACATCAAACTTTATAATCAACATTTATAAATCTTATCATACTAAACAATAGTTTTTGTATATCTTATAATGATTGACTTCCATGTGAAATATCTGAAAGACACAACATTATTGCTTTTAATTATTACCAGGCTCTGGAATCAATGTATAAAACATACAGCCATTCCATAAAAACATTGATGGCAAGAGATCAATCTATCATACTTATAAATCATGAAAAAGGAACTTGTTACATTATAACTTAACTTTTTTTACACTGAACTCAAATTATTCTCATTTAAAATATAATTTAATACTGAATACATATTTTGCTTACTCCTCAAATAAATCAATACCTGTATTATTTATTTTCTATCTGTAATTCATATTTTAATAGCTATAGTATTGATTCCCATCAAGGTAACATTAAGTTCAATATTACTTTTTTATTGTTCCTTGGTTCAAACCTTTAACAAAGGTCATAAAGAAGGTTTTTTTTCTTCCTAAAATTTTTACTGCAGGTCAATCCTGGTCACATCAATAAAACATTTCATTACTGTTAAATGAGGTTCATTTTATGTACAAAGTCAAAAAAGGCTTTCAACTGGTCTTAATCTTTCAGGTAATTGGATGTAATTGTGATGCCAGATTTCTAGTTAAACATGAAAATCTACAAAATTATGTACAGGTTAACAGTGTTCAAGCTTGTCCTCAGCCCAACCAGCCCAGGCGTGTAAACATTTCTATTGTGCATGTAAGAACTTCTACAACAGGCCAATAGAATCTACTGTGGATTCATTATTATTCATGGATACCGATTTTTGTGGATTTAGTGGGTAAAGGTGAATCACAAATTTAAATGTTCAACAAAGTACAAAATTCTATAGGCCTGTATGAAGACTTTGCAAAACCATGAATGAAATATCCACAAAAATTGGTACCCACGAAAAATACATGAATCCACAGAACTACTTATACAAAATTTTCCAAAAATAGTGTCAGGCTTGTGGATGTAACAGTTTATCATAAAGATTATGTCTATAAGGGATGGTAGCAATCCTTTAATTTCTGTTGTACAGGTCATAAAACTGTTCAAATAGACTTGCCTTTTATGTTAAGTATACTATACATTCAGGGTCATTAGAAGTAAAAATATCTTAAATCCCACTCCTAAAAGGGGGCATAACTCTAGAACAATAAGTGACTCATTGACCAATTCAAACTCTGTCTGCAGGCTTTGGTTATTTGCATTGTGTATGAGTTTCATAAAATTTGGATGAGGAAAACTAAGTTAAGAGAGTGGAAAGAAAAAATAGGGATGGACCAAAAGACTAATGGACGGACAAACAGTAGGACAGAAAGATGGATAGAAGGACGGACCATGCAATAATTTCTGAATTAACAGTACATTAAGTCTTCTGCTTACAGCGTAAAAATATTCATTTGCCATCTGTATTGTGGCTCCAAATTGGGGAATAATGACTTGGAACAGTATTCAAATGTTCCAAATTTCGTACAAACTTAGATCAGCTAACATGGCTAAGGTAGCCACAAGTTTAATAAGAACAACAAATAACCTGTGAAAGTCACTTTAAATAGATATTTGTCAATACAGCAGTCTTTCTTTACATTTTCTAAATTTCAGTTTAAATGAGTTTGCCAGTACATAAAATATTCTCATGATTCAAACAACCATTGTTAGTGTTAATGAAAGACCTTTGATAGATTATATCAAGGAAATTGAATTTTCCCGTCCGTCTATTTGCAATCAGGTAAAACTGGGTAGATGTGAATGGAGACAACACAAATAACATCAGAAGTACACATAAAACAGAAGTAGACATAAAATCTGAAACCAATGGTAATGACAGAAAGGACATCAAGAAATCATTGTGTTTTCCCCATTAATCCCCAACTAACCCAAAATAAATAATCAACAAAACAAATAAATAACAAACTACAGTTTGCATACTACCTATATGATAGAGAGCCATATTGATAGATTTGATCTGAGAAGGGACATACAAAAACAGGTCTACTCATTTAGTAATATAGAAGCTGCTCAGAATGTTCAAGAATTTCCCCAAAATGTACTGCTTCACTTCCCTTGACATGCTCACAACAAAGCACTTCTTGAGTAGAAAATACTAGCAACTATTCTTTGTGAACAGTAAAACACACTGCTTACCTTCCCTTGACATGCCAACAGCAAAACATTTTTTGAGTCGACAGTACTGACAGCTATTGCGTGTAAATGGTGTAATTTCACACTTTTCCTCATTTGAGCATTTGTGTGTCATTCCTTGGGTTATACATCGTCTAAAGAATCCCTACAAATACATCAATGAATAACAAAATCAACACTGAAGCTTTATACATTGATATCTATTTCAAGATACGTAACAAAAGTTGGTTCCTCAGGGTACTATAGGTTATGATACTTTATAGAAATTCTGTTTGTTACAATATTTAGACGTACTATTTTGTGAGGAAAAAACGTATACCAAATCAAAACAATTATTTCATATTTCAATATTTACTTTGATAACAAGGTATCATATCTTGATGAAGACTTAACTTGACCCTTATATGTGCATTGTTAAGGGCTAGTGTCAAGTATCATGATTTTCATAATACTAAGTGTGCAGTTTCTATCAGACACAACTCAGACAGGCTTATATATATTAAGGGGTGATAGGGGATCTTTTTTTCGCTCAAGTTGAAACTGACACTAGTTTGAAAAAAATTAAAGCACTATCTGGCATAGTCCATTGATTACCATGCATTTACTGTAAAATTCAAATTTATGACTGTAACATTTGAAAGTATAAATTCAAGATCAAGAAATATGGTCCTTTCACTTGTTGCTTGAATAACGTGGCTAGCTAGAAATAACTTCTATTAATTTTGGTTTTTATTTTGCATTTAATATACGAATTTTCAACAATCTATGATCTAAATAAATGCTATCTTTAAAACTTGTTAATTTGGTGTTAATGAAAGGTGTAAGATAGTCTGTTTAATTAAATCACAGCTTGTTTTCAGCTTGTCATTTTAGAAATTGACCTATTGCATTAAAACACACCTATCTATTATTGAAGACTGCATGTTAATGGTCAATTGCATTTACTGTTCACAGCTTTTATAATCTGAGCATTTTAGAACCTGACCTATTATATTAAGACACATGTCTTTTACTGAAGACTGCATATTGACCTCTAGATTTTTTTGAACTTATTTGTGCAGTATGGTTTGGTTGCAGTATCATTGGTGTGTACCCCAAATCCCTTTTTATTCAAAGAAGAATTACTGAAGAACTTTCATTGTCATAATCACAGGGTTTTTTTTACACTTACTAAAACAGTGTCTTTCAAATAAACGAAGACATATCACCACTTTCTGTAATTACACTCGACATACATGTCTCAGTTTGGCTTTGACCAATGGGCAATGCTATGAGTGGCAGTACACTTAACTTGGCGAGTTCATCATAAAACTCAATCGTCCTGAACATGCATGAAATATTTCCGCTGGACATTAAGAAACTCAAGGTTTCTGATAGAGTTCACATGACTATATTAAGATCAAAGTTTCTTCTGAATTTCCATATCCTGTGATTATTTGTGAGTTGATGACCATATCCTTTCTGATATGTTTTGATATGCAATCTGTAATTCATGTAATTGTAGATTTGACTCCATCAAGAGTGATGAATATGGTTTTCAAACATAAAACATCAATTTTTAATTCTCCACTTCTTTTAAGGTTAAGTTATGCATTTCATTTAATGGCCTTTAAACGTGCTAGTTTTATTCATAAACAAATGATAAATGACAATATCCATTACTCTCATCCTCGATGAACATAAGTTGTGCAATAAAACTAACTAATTATATTTTCCCAACAGGATATTTACAAGTAGCTTAAATGTAAAAAAAATTCTTCATATGAAAGAATATATTCTTTATGTCTTATTTTCTTGTCATTAAATCTTTTGTTTTACCTTTTGGACATTTTCATAATATGAGCAATAAACCTGCAGTCAATCAGAAATTCACCATTCGATTTATCCCCACTGAAAACTGGCTTTGCAAATAAATAACAAGTAGTTGCATACATTAACTTGTTTAGCTTACCCCTTCTCATAATTCAAAGTATAGAAAAACAGAAAGAAGTGTCTGACAGATCTGAAAAATGCTCACATGTATATAACTTACTGTCAAGCTGCTAGCCAAATATAGTGAGTCTGTAAAGTACTACTGGGGGAATAAGTGATAAAAACAATTTTTAAAGTTCATTCAACATATTGAATAAAATGCTCTGCCGGCTGCAGCTAGATACAACCACAGAGCTTGAACCTTGAACAGTTGGGGCAAGTATGGACACTACATTCAAGCTTGACACAGCTTGATAAAGTGAGAGAACGGAAACGAAAAATTCAGCAATTTTTCCATTTGTAAAGGGGCATAACTCTAGAACGGTAACAGTGACGCCACCAAAATTCAAACTTGATCTGTGTTTTGTGGTAATACGCATTGTGTATAAGTTTCATAACATTTGGTTGAGGCAAACTAAAGTTAGAAAACGGAAACCAACTTTGGGACGTACGTACAGACTGATGGACAAGGGTAAAACTTAATGCCCCCTCCGCTACGGCAGGGGCATAAAAAATCTATAAAACTTACATCTAATTATTTTTCAAAATATCTTAATAATGAACAGTAAATTTCAAACTATATTTATACATAATTTCTAAAATTAGATTATGATGCTATATCTATTTTTAACTATGAATTACTAACAATTTCTATTAATTGTGCAATACAGCTCTGAATTTGGATTGTGATTAACTATTTGACATCGCATAGGTTTCTGACACAGAAGTTATGATGTCTAAGAACTTAAAAATTTGAAATTGGACTTTTACCTATTATGGTCCAATATCCAAAATCTGAATACATGGTTAGATTCAGCATATCAAAGAACCCCAAGAATTCATTTTTTGATGAAATCAAACAAAGTTTAATTTTAGACCCTTTGAACCTCAATGTGGACCAATTTTTATAATGGGGCCAAAAAGCCAAAATCAAAATTATACACAGTTAGATTCAGCATATCAAAGAACCCCATAAATATAATTTTTGTTGAAATCAAACAAAGTTTGATTTTGGACCCTGATTTGGACCAACTTTAGAAACAGGGCCCAAAATCAAAAATCTAAATAAATGTTTAGATTCAGCATACCAAAAAAAACCATAAATTCAAATTTTTTTAAAATCAAATTAAGTTTAATTTTGGACCCTTTGAACCTTAATGTGGACCAATTTTGAAAACTGGGCCCAAAAATCGAAATCTATATAACATGGTTAGATCAAGGATATCAAAGAACCCAAAGAATTCAAGACTTTGAATCAAACCCCATTGAAATTGCTCAAGAAATAAGCAATTTGAACAAAGTATTAAAAAAGTATAATTTTGGCCCCTTTTTCCCAAATGGTTTAAGGCCATTACCCCTAAAATCATTCTCAACCTTCTTTTTTTTGGTGTGGAACCTTGTGGTACAATTTCATAGAGATCCATAGACTTATACTCAAGTTATTGTCAGGAAACATGAAAATCCTAGTTTTTTTTTTTGCCCCTAATTCCTAAACGGTTTGGGCCATAACCCCCAAAATCGACACAATCCTTCATTTTGAAGTACGGAACCTTGCGATACAATTTCATTGAGATCCATTCACTAATACACAAGTAATTGTCCAAATGTCTTCAGACAACAACAACGATGACATTGACAACTTAATAACATTATACGACCAGTCATAATAAAAATTCAAACTATCACAGACAGGAAATAAGTGTCTGACATAACTTCACAATTTTGTCATTTGTTCAACAAATGAAATAATAAACAAATAACATTCTGAATTTACATCATATTAGTTATCATGTGGAATGTAAATATTTGTTGTTGACAAGGCTACGGATAATTCCTACCTTGCATCCTTCACATGAATCCACTCCATAGTGGAATCCAGAGGATTCGTCTCCACACACTTTACAATGTGGTGATTTGGCCCCATTTTTACCAGTGAACATTGCAGATATAGTTGTATTTGTTGATGACAGGGCTGTAGGTGGGGACTTTACCGAGTTGATTGTCAAAGCTGATACTTGAGAAGTACATGATAAAGGCTGCTGGTTTATATAGGATGGACACGTCAGATCAGCATCCGAGGGTGATTGTTCTTCTCTTAGACCATTCAGATCAGCACATGGAGACAAGTCACTGTAATGACAGAAAATATATCAAATTACATCAGAAATCTGCAATGCTATTTAAAGGTTTCTTCTTGTCTGGTCTTCAATGTACTTCAAAGAAAATCAATAGATTATTTCTCATAGTATATCTATATATATATTTGTACAAGTAATTATCATGATGCTCAAACGTAATTAAATGTTATATATATATGACATTTCTATCATTTTCTGTATCAAAAATAATGACCACTATAGGCAATTTGATTCAACATAAACTTAAACAGTGTATCACTTCATACATTACATCCAATACATCTGTGCCTTAACAAAAACATAAAAATACATTTTGCTGAAGTTGTAAGAGTATGTATCTATATAAAATCTCTCATTTAAAGAACTTATTTCAATCCTATCATCTTGACCATTAAATGACAATTTTTATAAACTAAAGATGACTGGCCGACAATAACCAATTAACTTGTTATTTGTTTGGTACTCAACTTGTTCTCAGCTCCTTTCATTTATATAGTCAATAGACTCAATACAAAGAATATGTATTGTCATGACTGCTACAACTCACCACTAAGATACTTTACTGAAAGGCACACTTGTAGCAAAGGAGGGTTCAGTAATTTTTATCTGACCCCCCCTTGACCAAAAATAACTCCCATCAGAGACATATCCTGGCTACTGTCCTGAAAGGATTATTGTGTAATATGTATTTTAGCTGAGAACAATGCATTACCTTTGTAATGTATTGTATGTGGAGAACATAAATGAAGTGGGCAGAAAGGAAGTAAATGAGGGATCTGAAATTGTACAATACAATGTAGTATTCAACATGTTGAAGCTGGTATTTTGAAATGAAGCTCATGAATGCAGTACAAACAATTTGGAAGTTATCACTAATTGCTTCTGAGACAGTGCAATACGCTTTACCTATATGTGGATTACAAATTGGCATACAGGGAGTTGGTGATGGAGAGATCTGAAAACAAGTCACACAGTACTGATTAGTCAGATACAGCTTAATACCAAATTGTTGTCAACTTCAGAGAAAACTGTGAAGAAAATGTCATTTATGTGGATTATATGTAAATTGCAAAGTGGAAGGAATCTGAAAACCTGTCACAAAACACATGATTATCGTTTCAAATTTAAGTCAATTTAAGAAACCTTATAGAGACTCAGACAAAGGAGAAAGTTAATGAAGGATTAAAATTGGCCATAGATTTTGGATTTTTTTTTTAAATATGGTCAAATTACTACAAATTTTTCATAAAAAAAATAGATGCGATAACACTATTATTACAAAATAACTTCTTTTTGGCAAATCATATAATAAATTACAAAGACAAAGTTATGACCCCAAATTATGAATTATTTATGATGAATTTCATAATGTTGAACAGTTTTTTTGCATGTATACTAAGCTTTGATGGGAACCCTTATCCTGAAAATTATTTTGTTTAGGCATTCAATATGAACCTTGGTACCTCTCTCTTACAGAATATTTTGGAACCCACTATTGGCTGCCAATGTTATTCTGAACTTACTGAAGCTTTTAGGTACAAAAAATGCACCAAATCATTGTTTTGAAAACATCTCCAAAAGACATGGGAACACATAATGTACTTTTATGAATAGATTTGTTCTCAGCATTAAGTTTTGAAATTTATAAAGCAATTTAATACCAAAGTGTGGCCTTTTTAGTATTTGATGATCAAGTTGTAATATTAATACAAGGCCAAAATTTGGTAAAAGTGCACCTTGTCCTTATTAAAGTTTGTATTTTTGTTTTGGTCCATCAGGAAATAAAATGCCAAAATGGGTTTTCATCAGTTTTAAAATTTGAATACACAAAAAAATTCAGAAGTATAAACTATAAGAAAATCCAAACAGAACCCTATCATTGCCTATGGCACATTTATTACCGGTATTATCAAGATTCTTTATTCAATGCACACCAAATACCTCATTAAAGCCTAAATGTGTTCAGTCAGTATTAGCAAAGAAAAAACATCCTTTAATCACAAAAGCAACTTAGAAATAAAAATGTTCATACATATAATTGCCACTACATATTGGTACATTTATTATGTCACAGTATGTTATATGTGTAGTCTACCATAATAACAATATTAAGATACACATCTATGACCCATAGCTCTTTGATATTTTTAATGTTTATGTCAAGGTTATACCCCACTTCAAGTCGTACTGTTATATAAAAACATTTCCCCAACATTTTAACCTTTTATTTAGGCCACATCTAGGTTATCTATTTTCATTGTGTTTTAAAAAGTTGAAATAAGACCAGAATTTTTTCTTTCAAACTAGTAATAAATTTTAAAATGTTTATTGGATCACTGTTAAGTTGATCAGGAGGCTGAATGAAAATGATCTCAATAGATAATGATGTAATATATTCTGTGTTCAGAAACATCTCAGGTTAATATTTAGTTTTTAAGATCAAATCAGCCCTTATCCTATATTTAAAATTTATCAAATTAGTAGACATGTATGTGCAAAACTGTTGACATTTCCCTACTCATAGGCTAATACAGAAAAAAGCTGTACAGGATCGGAGCCAAATACAGGACCATGAACTCTCTTCCAGTTGCTTATAATTTACATCTCATAAAACTTAGGATGTACTTTTATGCATGAGAAAACCGCCTCGGTGGTCTTGTGTAGCGTGTTCACCTCGAGTGCAGGAGGTCGTGGGTTCGAACCCAGGCCAGGTCAAACCAATGACTTTAAAATTGGTATTTGCTGCTTCTAAACTAAGCACGCTTAGCTGCATCAAGGAGTAAAAGCAAAGCTTGTCAGATCGGAGTCAGAATAATGTGTCCCTTTAAGGTGACAAGTCTTCCTATGGACTGTTACCTTGTGAACTAGCACTTAAAAATCTGACTTAGCATGTCGGTCTAGTACAAAGCAGGGCAAATATTCATATTACATTAACATGATCTCGTCCTGAATATGCATATTAATTTGCCGCTGGACGTTAAGCAGCCATCCATCATCATCATCATCATCATCTTGCATGACATACTTTTTTTAATCTTAATTCTGAACTTAAAATGACTTGAAAAAGGTTTGAATTATATATGTTCCTTTTTTAGTTAAGATATGTGAAGGGAAAATTACAAAGACCTTTCCATGTGACATTTTTGGTTAGAATTCATTTCCGTTACCCAAAACATCCATTAAGGCAGACATTATGAATAAGAATGGTTAAATCCTGTTAGGAACTTTTTTTTGGGCTAAAAAAAGATAAATGCATTAGCAATAGACTACTTAAAGATTATAGACAGGAAATGTAAAAGCTCATCAATTGACAAATATGCAGTGTGAAAAAAGTTAATTTTATGGCAATTTGAAGCAATAACAATATATAGGTCTTTAAAACCAAAAATCAAAGGGAGATAAACAGCTAACTTTTCCAACATTTAACTGTTTACACTCGCTCACTCATGCTGTATACTGTATTGTTATGACATGTATGATATGCTTGACTGCTAGTCCTAACATATTCTCATTACTGACATACATTGTTAAACCAAAATACTGCTTAATTTTATATTATATATTAACTATATATATATATAACAACATCTTTTAAACATAAATTAATGATTGATGAAATTAAAATGCAAGTTTTGATTGAATAAGATTTGGCCTTTTGTTTTAGGTTCTTTTGATAACATTTCTCCTCATGTAAAACATCATTAACTTTTTCAAACATTTCAAGGTTAATCCTGAAAAGCACTTTCAATACACTAGATTTTGTAATTTTGACTTTTGTTATGCATAATACCAAAATGGAATTCCGAGGCATCGACCTGTGTAGGAGTTTACATGTACATACAATATACATGTATTTAAAAAGGCATTTAACACATCCTAACAATCTGTTATTATTCAAATTTTAAATTTACATGAATGTGAAGTTTTATTTCCTTTTGGAAAAATAATTTGACCTCCTAGACACAACTGAACTCAAACCTACCTAACAACAAAAATTGTTCATCTAGTTCTTAATGGCCTGATATGTAAAAACAGAAAGTTAAAATGGCATTTAGTGTGGGTTTTAAATGTACTTTGATGTAATCAATTAAAAAATATAACAAAACAAACATGACATGTAAAAATTTATTTATTTGTTTATGTCAAATCATATTAATTACAACTGAATTATTTATAGTTTTCCCTGTAGGACTGATATCACTTCCTTAAGTTTCATTTTGAAAAAGAAATAGGATATTTAACCTTTAAATCTGGATTACTTAAAACCTAAGGCTCCACTCAAGAATCTGATTAACACATATATGTATAAGTAAAATCACTGACTTCACTGTGAAAAAAAAAATTTGACTTAACTGGACACAAAATGAGGGTTTGAAAAAAATTCTGAATATTTTCATCACCGTCATATAAGTAGGGATAAAAATATGATCATTTTTACCAGACTTTTTCCATAATAGCACAAACACATTTTTGTCGGTTACAAAAGTGACACTTGGAGAAATTACTGCACAAACAAGTCCTTATAAAATACCCCTGTAACAAAATAGTTATTAAAAAATCAATTAGTTGTCTTGCAGCTGAGATTTACGTGTTCACCCAATAGACATTACCCTGGATAGTTGGTATTTTGACCCCCCTGTATAGAAAATTTAATCCTCCCCCATTTATCATGTCTATACTATCCAATGCTATTCAGTATGTTCCACTCAAAATTGGAGGTTATGAATCCATAAAAGGAGGTCAAAATCCCATTAGCCGGAAAGAGGCTGGGGAATGGGGGATGGGTAAAATATAATGACTATGAAAAAATGTTCTATAATTTATCCTAGCATTTCATTTTCATTCCATATACTTTTAGGAGCATTATAACTAAATGAAGTAGTTTAAAAGTTATGATAATTTGAAATGTTGGTATCTTAAGGGGATCTAGGGGTCAAATTGCTCTGGCTAAGTAAAAGAATTAACATAAGATTTTATTTCAATAATTATGGGTGCATTATAACTAAATTAAGTAGTTTAATTGCTACCATAAATTGAAATAATGACATTTAAAAGGGGGGATACATTTCCCATGGCACCGAATGTGTTCAATTACGTTCAGCTGACTCATTCAAATCCCACATACAATGTCTGATAAACATGATTTAGATTAGTGAAAAATAGTAATAGAAAGTTCAATGTCCCAAATGGCCAGCAAGTGCAACATACATAAATATAGCAGTAAATATTGATTTTTGCTATAATAAATACCTCAGAGGTGACTGGTCACTGGATAAATCCATAACAGGGAAATAATTCTGTATCTTTCTTGATACCTGAAATAATAATTAAAACACATTAAATAAATCATGATTTCATCATACGGGTAAATGTATTACGATTTCAACAAAGTATTTTTTCTACATTTGACTCACCTTCATTTATATATAAACAGGTATGTCAAAATTTTGCATGTCTCAAATAAGCTCTATCTGGACCATTAAGCATATAGTGTTCACTATTGATAATTCAATTTCTCTAGCATTAAATGATATCATTATACAAATAAGGAGATGTGTAATGATAGCCAATGAGACAGCTATCCACCAAAGACCAAAGGACGAGGATATAAACAACTATAGGTCACAGAAGGGCCTTCAACAATGAGCAAACCCAATACCATATAGTGATTTCAAAATAAGGAGATATCAGGTATGACTGCAAATGAAACAACTTTGCATAGACAAAAACATTAACAAATACAGGTCACATGATGGCCTGCAACAATAAGCAAAACCCATATCCTACTGAAAGTTAAAAAAGACCATGGTATAACAAAACTATGAAACAATTTTCAATAGAGAACCAAGCTACATATTACTTATTTATTATACTCATGGCACTTTTTGCAATCTCTGACGTAAGAGAATACGAGGAATAAATATAAAAAAAATTTTCACATAAATTTTCAAATAGACATTCTAAAATTTAATTAATTATTCTTTTATGAATTTATTTCCTTATGTAGGAAATAACAGCGATTCACACCCAAGTATCGTATCATGACTATTTACAATGTAAGAATAAGTTCTCAGACATAGTTTTAGGATATTACCATGTGAACTTGGCATTCAGACAGATTTTAATGTTAACTGAAATGTTTTTCTCTTACATATCTTTCATTGAAATAAACATTTATCATAAAAACCAAAGAAAAATTTATGACAACAACATGAATAAAATGCACTTTTTGTACATCTAGTTTCCAAGGAATAACACCTGCTAGCCCTTTTAATATATGTTTTTTTTTCAGAATTGCATGATATTATATGGAGATATATGCATATATATACAATCCACATTTTACACGAAAACTAAGAACAGCATGTGAATGGAATCCAACCAGTAATTGAACTTAAACAACAGCTACTAGAAAAAGTTGACCTCATGATCGAAGTCACTCCAAATCAAATCTTTAAAGAGAGGATGCAATAAAGGTCTTATTTAGCCTATATTTTCCCTGATTTACATTTACGAGTATTCTAAAGATCTCAAAACAAGTAGTTTAGGTTCCATCGTATAAAAACAAATACAGTTATGGAGAAATAAAATGCCACTTCTACATATTCTGATGACAAATACAGAGATTTTGGTCAATTATCACATAAATATAGAGAACAAGAAAAACTAGAGGCTGTGTTGCACACCTTGGTCTATGGGCATATTCAACAAAGGACACTCTCCAACATTGTTGTGAGATTAGAATTCATGACAAAAATCTCTGTTTTGTTGATCTTGTATTGCTGATCATTTAGTCTGTTTAGTTTTTGTCTATCTTCTTAAGTTTTTGCTCAAAACACAAAAGAGGGTAAATAAATGGGGAATGTGTCCATGGGACACAGATGATGCCCCCGCTTGCATATCATATAAAGTTATGAAAGGACATAACTGAAGAACAGTGAAAGTGACGCTACCTAAATTTGTACTTGATCAGAGTTTTGTGGTAATAAGTTTTGTGTATAAGTCTCATAACATTTGGTTGGGGCTAACTTAGATTAGAGAACAGAAACAAAAAATTAAGCAATTTTTCCATTTGTAAACAGTCATAACTCTGGAACAGTAAAATTGACACCACCAAAATTCAAACTTGATCTGTATTTTGTGGTAAATAGCATTGTGTATAAGTTTCATAACATTTGGTTGAGGCACACTGAAGTTAGAGAACGGAAACGAAAAATTCAGCAATTTTTATGTTTATAAAGGGGCATAACTCAAGAAGGGTACAAGTGATGCCACCCAATTTCATGCTTGATCTGTATTATGTGGTAATAAGCATTGTGTATAATTTCATAACATTTCGTTGAAGCAAACTAAAGTTAGAGAACGGAAATAAAAAATTCAGCAGTTTTTATGTTTATAAAGGGGCATAACTCAAGAATGATAAGAGTGATGTCACCCAATTTCAAACTTGATCTGTATTTTGTGGTAATAAACATTGTGTATAAGTTTCATAGCATTTGGTTTAGGCAAACTAAAGTTAGAGAACGGAAATGAAAAATTCAGCAATTTTTCCATTTGTAAAGGGACATAACTCTAAAACCGTTCAAGTGACACCACCAAAATTCAAACTTGATCTGTGTTATGTTGTAATATGCATTAAGTATAAGTTTCATAACATTTGGTTGAGGCAAATTAAAGTTAGAGAACGGAAACCAACTATGGGACGTACGTACGGACGTACAGATGGACAAGGGTAAAACTTAATGCCCCCTCCGCCACGGCGGGGGCATAAAAATTAAATTCTACTTGTGTGAGGTATTCTCAGTTTAAAGTACTTGTATCTAGCTTGGATTATTATACTAATAGTATAATAGTCCCATTATCTAATATACATCAATAGAAACCACAAACTCTAAAATTTTCCGAAAAAATCAAGGGCTGTTTAATCTGAAACCAAGGTAGAAAAACGGTCTACCTTGTGTGAAGTTTATTCCCTTTCAGGAAATTTCAATCAATTTAGTCCAGCAATCATTTTCGTTTATTATTCTGATTAATAAACCAACAGTGGGACGTCATGTGCATAACTATATAAACCACAAACTCTTTATGGTACGGGCATCAGAATCTGATCAGGAATGAAGTTACAAGCATATCTGGTTCCCTTTTGCAAGCAGATTTATTAGAATAGCATCTATATATGATCCAACAAGTGAAACATTCTTTATACATGTTATATATAGGTTGTAAAAAACGGTAAATGGTCCTAATCAAGTTTCTTGGCAGAACACACTGATATGCATGGACACAATTACTCCACTCTAAGGTAAAATATCAACTGATCCAGATAAAAGACAAATATGAAATCAATTAATTTAAACACAAATATTACACTATGTACTCTTGCTATCTGTATGCAAGCAAGATAAAAATAAACGCAGCCAAATTATAAACATAACCTTGTATCCAAGTCTCAGAAAACATCTGTTTATTTCTATAACTATATATACTTTATAAGGTGAATGACCTCTTGATATTTTTTCATCTGAGTGTAACTTTTACCTTCCCACACTATCATATAAATGGAGGTTTGCAGAGGTTTTAACATGTTTAAATCAAAATAAGTCCCATTACTAAGAAAAGAATTGTTCACAATGCAAAAATATGCCTAGTTCATTGAGTTAAATCAAGACCAATAAATTTTATTTCAGTTCTAGAATGACAAAACATATTTATATACAAAATTCAGGAAAAAAGTTATAACTTAACAAGAATGTGTCCAGAACCTGAAGCAGGACAGACGGACGGATGGACGAACAGACAAATGAACGAACAGACGCACAGACCAGAAAACATAATGCCCCTTCTACTATCGTAGGTGGGGCATAAAAATCTTTAGTTTTCCTTCCTGCCAATCTGATAGTCAAGCCCTTTCAAACTAATTTTTAAAGCTTACCGTTCTATGTTGTGTTGTTACACCCACTGTTCAAGGTTAGGGGAAGGTTGAGACCTCAAAAACATGTTTAACCACATTCTGTATGTGCCTGTTAAGTCAAGCCTGAATTTCAGTGGTTGTCATGGGTTGCTGTCTGTTTTTTGTTTATTTTTTTGTCATAAATCAGCCATTAGTTTTTTTCATCTTGTTTCACATTTTGTTAGGTCAGGGCCATTTATAGCCGTCTATATGGTATGGGTTTTCCTCATTGCTAAAGGCCATATAGTGTCCTGGAACCTGGCAGATTATTGTCTTATTGGCAATCATACAACATCTACGTGTATTTCTTTAAATATAATACAAACAGAAATGACATATTTGTAAATTTCAATTTGCAAGTTTATTGATTTTTCTGTTCACAGTTTCAACATTACTGTTTTCATGATAATAGTTGAAAAGCCTTTGAATTCATTGTTGCATGCATGTATGTTCTTTCAATTACTATACAATTTTTATAAGAAATTTTTGTTACATTTTTCTCAGCAACTAAAATCAAAGTTTCTTGAAATATAATTAATTAGTGCCAAGTTTGGTAAGCTCTACAGTGTGAAACATTTTCAGATGATATCCATCATTTGTCTTGAGAAAAATGTACAAAAATTGCTTAAATATGTATAAGTTAAATTTCACGGGAGGTTAACATAAGATATTAAATATAGATATATATTCCAATGCAACATCATGTAAATTCCTTTTTTTTTTTTTTTCTTCTTGTTTTCGATGTAATTTTTCTCTTCTTCTTGTTTTCGGTGTATTTTTTAGTAAACTTTATTGAATATTTCAACTCATGAAAATTAGCAACTGCAAAAGCAGATGATATATTTAGTATAATAAACTGTTAACACAGAGATATGTCTCACCCATTTGTTATTTTGATAATGCATATGTTGAAATTAAAATAGCAATACTTTAACATGTAAGGTATGCAAATATTCAAAGTCAATGAACAATGACTGAAGGTACAGGGCTAAACAATCTCCATGGAAATGAGATGTGCCAATGCTAATACAACTGCAAACCAAATACCATTGACTTTTCACAAGTCGTTCCCTTTAAACAAACCTAAACACAAACATTAACTTGTAAACTATGTAAAAGTTTCAAAGTCAATGAACCATAATTAGGGGGTGGGGTTATATAATCTCCATGGAAATGAAACTTGCAAATGCTAATACATTTGCATACCGAATATCATTGACTTAACATTAGTGGTTCATCTTAAACGGAACTAATCACAAACTAATACATGTAAACTAAGCAAAAGTTTCAAAGTCAATAGACCATGACTGAGTGGTAGGGACCAAATATTCTCCATGGAAATGAGATGTTTTAATGCTTATACAA